TGAATCACCTCCTTCAAGTGATGAGACTGTGCATTCCTCCTCTTAGGAGAGGGAGGGAAAGGCTAGAGAAAGGTATGCTTTGTATACATAATTTTCCTACCTGCTCAGAGATTATAAAAGCTCTGCAGGTAACGTTTAGTGGGTCCTGACTGTTTAGTGGGTATTTGGGAGTGAAGAAAGCATCAGATTTTTCTCTCAGGATCCGGGAAAGAAAAACCACAGGAAAGGAGAAACTACCGGTGTTTTTATAGGCTCTCGAAAGATTGCTGCTGTTTGTGCTTCTTCCTCCCTCCTTCACCTCCACATGTACTCAGCAGTAATGTTTGATTTCCAGCCAAGCAGAGCATTGCCTTACTGTAAACTTCCTCCATTGCTGTTAGCGGTGACGCTACCACTAATGCTACCAAGTTACCAAGCTGCGTTACCAAATCTGATTCCCTGTCAATCTTTTCCCTAATCTTCCTGAAGCTTAGGGGAAGTCATAGGCCAGCAAGAGAAACACTTTGAGCTCAGTAAGAACAGAGGTTTCCTGTTGTTCCTCCACAGAGCAATGCATTATTTCCAGCAGTAGTTCAGGATGAAGAACAAGAACTCTAGTTGTTGGAGCTTCATAGGAGTAGGAAGAAAAAGCTAAATTATTAAGATTGGTGGGGGGGAGGGGGAAGTTATTGAAACAGGGGAATTCTGAGCTACGTGACTAACTCTGACAAGGTAAGGTGGAAAGGGAGAGTTGCTAGTTAAGCAAATCCTTAGGTGCTGGTCTCTCCTAACTGATGGTTGTAGCTACCTTTGTTTTGTAGGGGATTTGCTGCTCTACCCTCTCCAAGAAACAATTTTCTTTTCTTTGTAGTCCAGCTCAGAATTTGACTTCCTGTCTTCTAGTTGTAAAATGCTAACACAGTAATCTTTCAAGAGCCATAAAATCTTTTATTAGTTGGAGATACTTTTTTGAATTTAAAATAACTAGACTGTGCCATTTTTGTTACACGGTAGAAATGGAAAAATAGGCAGCAAATAGATGAAAGAGATAGACACAAACTGATTGAGAGTGAGGTCAGGCAAAAGGCTTAAAATAATCCCAAATATAGAAGAAAAGAATGAAATTAAAAGGTAAAACTGCTGAGTCTAAAATCTGAAGGAAAGATGCTGCATGGAATGGCAGCAACGTAGAAAATAACTGTCTTCACCAGATAAATCTTTCATTAGGAGCATGAAGGTGATGGCATAACAAACACAGATGGTGAACAGTTGACATCAGAACAGTAACTGAGCATGAACTAACATTGAGAGTGGGAAAGGAGATGGAGGAGGGTAGAGGCATGCTTTCCCTATATTGGGCCTCCGCATTTAAAGCCGGAAGCTAGCATTGCTACTACTTCTGCAAAAACTGAGATGAGGGCTATGAAACTAGCCCTTGACATTGCTGCTAAGAAGTGTCTGCACGATCTTGGTGTAGATGATCAAGAAGCAGTGTCCTTAAGTGTGATAAGAAATTCGGTATGTACTAAATATATGGTAACATACACTATAGCACTTTCAAGACTAAGTGACTTCATGAATTGTACTGTCTGCCCTGATCAAGGACTGAAATGTGTGTAATGTTTCTTAAAATGTAAATTATAAGTAGAAAAACTTTTTCAGAATACTCAGTTAAAACGTAGGGAATGCTTATTCATTTTTATCAGATTCTAGCCATAATCTAGTCTGTATTAACCTCCAACACAGTTAATTTTGCCGAGTCTTACTTTTAACCAATACAATTGTTACTTCTGGGGTTTTTTTTTCTTTTCTTTTCCAGAATACAAGCGCAGAGTAACAAGGGTACAAAATGAAAATGAAATCACAGTGCACTGGCAAGGGACTGCTTTATTAATTTGCCTTCAAGACAGATTAAGTTACTTTATTGAAATTACACAGTTTATTCTACCCCCTATTAAGGTTTCTGGACCTGTCAGGGTTACTGTGAGAGAGAGTGCTGGCACGAACAATACACTAGAGAACTGCTTATTAGAAAGGTGTATGGAACTGTGCAAAGAAAATAAAAATTGTATACAAAGCTGAAAGTTTTCCTCTTCTTTTGTAAGACGTGCTGTTTTAGAGACACTTTTCAGGTTTTATTTAGGTATGCAAGACTATTGAATTATTGAACCTCAAGTAATTCATTCAGAACAGCTTAATTAAAATATATTTATGTAATTGAACCTATATTCCCTCTGCTACTCAAACTTGTACAGCATTGTAAATGATACTAGGTTGCCTAAAATTCCACTACAGACAGCTTTAAAGAAGCTCAATGCATATACCAGCAAATAGTTGTTCTGTGTTTGTCTTATTTTTCATATTATTTTCATTATTCTTTCTCTACTCGTGGAGACAGCTTACTGGGCTAAAGAGACCTTTATTCTGAGCTAGAATCACCTGTTTATGTTCTTTCTGTATTTACATAGTAGTTCACATGTTCAGAGCATTTTACAGAATCGTTTAGGTTGGAAGGGACCTCTGGAGATCCTCTAGTCCAACCTCCCTGCTCCAGCAGGGCCCTCTAGAGCATATTGCCCAGCATCACATCCAGACGGGTTTTGAGTATCTCCAGCGAAGGAGACTCCACGACCTCTGTGGGCCACCTGTTCCAATGCTCTGTCACCCTCACAGTGAAGAAGTTTTTTCTCAGGTTTAGGTGGAACTGCCTGTGGTTCAGTTTGTGCCCGTTGCCTCTTGTCCTGTTGCTGGGCACCACGGAGAAGAGATTGGCCTCATCCTCTTGACACTCCCCCATTAAACATTAATGATTTTCTCATCATTAATGCTGTAGGCCCCACAGGTTTCATCAGTATTAGTAAATTAAATGCATTCAGGAATGTTCCTGGGCACTGAAACCAGCTGGCACATAACATCCTATTTTTATACTAGTAAACTGTTAAATTACAAGAGGCCGACCTGTCTGTTGGGATGGCACATTCTAGTACCCAAGAATATCTGTGCCCAGGAATTATTTGGATAGTTGATTAAAGAACCATTGAGGCCTGCAGGCACCTCTGGAGATCACCTGGTCCAAACCCCTGATCAAACAGGGTCACCTGGAGCAGGCTACCCAGACCCTGTCCAGGCAGCTTTTGAACATCTCTAAGTATGGAGACTCCACAACCTCTCTAGGCAACGTGATCCAGTGTTCAATCACCCTCACAGTAAAGAAGTGTTTTCTTGTGTTCAAGTGGAATTCGCTGCGTTTCGGTTTGTGCCCATTGCCTCCTGTCCTGTCACTGGGCTCCACTGAGAAGAGTCTGGCACTCTTGACACCCTCCCCTCAGATATTTATGCAGATTAGATTTCCCCTACTGAGCCTTTTCTTCTCCAGGCCGAACAGTGCCAGCACTCTCAGCTTCTCCTTGTGTGGAAGATGCTCCGTTCCCTTCGTTATCTTTGTGCCTAAAAGCATGCTGGGGGCATTCTCTTTTTTTAGCGGTATGGATGGGGCTCGATGTAGCACACAGGAGTGCCTCCAGGCACTGCTCACATTTCTGGTGCAGGTGTCCTGTAATGTCCCTGCAAGGCGCCACCAATTTCATTTGGGAACAGTACCAGTTCATTTACTTGCTCTCAAAACAGTAACATTGAGAGTTTGTGTTCTCTTCAGTGAAGTTACAGCATTGCAGCTGTATGTGATTAGTTTAGGTAGTTACTGATCTACTCACACATACACAAGCCATTTGCCAAAATTACGCACTCACTTTTGCCTCTGAAGTTTGAGTCTGGACAATGCAAGCAGTGGTATATCTGAATTGCGGTGTAGAGAGGCGAAATCTCATTGGAAGTGAATTAGCTGAGGTACTGGCAGGAATTTGTCCATAGTAGCTTTGACCTCGCTTTCAGTAAATTTATCTTCGTTCTTAGTGTAAATGGGTTTGTCCAAGTCTGCTCTCAGCAGAGCTAGAGCAAACATATTAGAACAAACACGTCTTCTTCAGTCTTTCACAGATGCATATGGAACAGAAAGATACAAATACAGTTTCCTGGACATACTTGGTCCAAAACACATTTTGACAAAAATCTCATCTTTCTTTTTTCAGTTCTGTCTAGTGTTTGCTTTTTGGACTATTGAACAGTTGCTGTGCCTTGCTCTGGAGATAACCATTATTCAGTGCTGAATAATGTTTACGTAGCTCTTACTTAGCCTCACAAATGTAGAGGTGTGTGCAACTGGCTTGATTTGACTGGTTTGGTCTGTGGCCTGCCTTTTTGTTCTATAATGTCCTGATTTTGGAAACAGTGGGTAAGCTCTTTTCTGTTTAGTGGGGAGTCTTGCAGGCGTTTGATAACCACATTAGAATGTTATAATAAAAATCTTGTTATATCATTTATTTCTTGTCAGTTCTCATTCCTTTCCTTGCTCCTCTAGCTTATCAGCGCTATGCAATTTCAAAAGTGCACCTGAAAACTTACCTAGATGAGTAAACTGAATTATTGCCAGGAATATTTTGGATCTCAGAGCGTGGCATGGCCTATATCGATCTAGGTAAAAAGTACAACAGTTTGGTTGTTTTTTAGATTTTTACTAGTAGCTTATAGGTGCCTACTTTTTTTTCCTCTGCTGTGTAGAGCTCTCTTTTTCAGCTGCCTAGCAAGCAACCTTACTTAATACATCAGACAAAAAGGGAGGAGTTTCAGATTCTTATCTCTGTTAAAGTAGCCACAATGGGAAAGACTGTGGTATTCTCAAACAACACTCTTCTCATCACTGCTGTTGTCATTTCAAGTACTCTTTAATTTCAGTGCCTTTGACAGAAAGGGAAGTAACACTTTAAGACTTATACTGTTTTTCCTTGGAAGGATTGACAAGGTTGGAGGGTATTTTCTCAGTGCAGTATAGTTTCTAACATACCCTTTTTTCTCTGTTTTGGAACCATGATTATATGTTATAGTTCCACTTAGTAGCCTCTTCTTGAGTCTGGTTATTTTTCAGATGTAAACCTAATTTAAATTTGAATATTTTCCCCTTTTAGCTGACCTGAACAATGTCAGATTTTCGGCTTATAGAACTGCCATGAAACTCCGAAGGCTGCAGAAAGCCCTCTGCTGTAAGTATTTGCCTGTGTATCATAGATTGTAATGAATACTTTATTACCAAAACATAAGCTTATTTCCAGCTTTCAGAAGTAGAAAAGTACCCCCGGAATGTTTACTTATTGTATGAAACCTTTCACCTGCTCCCATCATTTTGCACATTCCTTACAAAATAAAGGCATTAGGCAATCCCAGATCTGTCAGATATAAGATGGAGACAACAGATCAGAAACAAAGTTAACATTCCCTGCATATTTCCTATCTTTACATTCTTTAGCCATATATTTTCACTATACTCATTACTAAAGCTGTGTCCTGTGTCAGCCACAGCTTTGCAGCTCAGCCACAAATGGGATTGTACTCTATTGATCGGTGAGAGTTCTGATTAAATAATAGTTGAATCAAGTTGAATCTTGAACCCTAAAGGGTTATTGCCTTTAAATGAGATCATTAAAAAAAAATTACCTTCATTTTTCCACAACGAAAATATTATGCTCAAAAATTCTCTTGTCAGTCATACGTTAGTGATGTACCTGTTTTAACATTTTAATTCTCTCAGCTGTGTTATAGTATTCTACCTGTCACTTTAGTTACATTTGCTTTTTTAGCTTATTGAAATTTGATTTGCTCATAGTTTCTTGGTGGGCCAGTCAGCTACGAAAGCAAACAGTTCATTAGGTGGTACCATTTGAAGGGTAATTGAAATATTTTAACATTCACTATTTGGAGTTTAATTGCAGGGTTAAGATTCTGAGACAGTTGCAAATGCCTAAACTGTTGCTTTATTTCAAGTTGAGATTTGTACTCACATGCTTTCTGGAACTGTGTCAAACCTCAGTATTTTTAAGCATGTTTGCTCATGGGCTTATAAGGATAGGTGAATTCCACTAATGAACAGACTTAATCTCTGGCAGTCCCACATTTATAAAAAAAAAAAAAATTAAGCAGTAATTGAAAATTCTTTTAACATAATGAAAGATCTCAGTGAGAATTGGAAATTCCTGTATCCAGTGTTTTCAAGCTTGCATAATTTTGTCTATCTGTCAACGTTAATGCAATGATAATGAATGAATTTGGATAGCTGACGATCAGAAATAAGCATCTTTTCATGACACAGCACTCCCCACACAATCATTGTGGAATGGCAGTAAAGAGAAATTGGAGTGCTATGCAGTGCAGAAATGTTCATAATCAGTGCAGCACAGAAGTAATGAACTAAAATTTTTACGTGATAGGTTTCTGTAGCTGGCAGTGCACAAGTGTAACTAGTAGGCTTTTATGACTAAAGGTGCGGACCCTAAAGTGCTTTGCATCCCATTTTATCCCTGATCGTACCGCTGTATAATTCTGCAATTGTCGTGGACTATACAGTGTAGAATTGTAATTATCCACTGAAGTATATTGTCTTTGCACTTGCGTTAAAGATTGCATTTCGGCGGATTTTCTGAGAACAAATGTTTTCAGAAACACGCTGTGGCGTTTACACTGAACACTCTAGTACATTCTTCATACTTGTATCTAAGGTGAAGTATTTAAGGAATTTGGTTAACAGTCTGCTCTTACAAAGATTTTCCCTTGGAGATATCATCATTGTGCTTGTGTATTCTGTGATTTCAATGTCATTTGTGAACTCAGTTTAATTAGGTTAAAAAAAGTCATTACTGAATTCTTATTCTTCAGTTTGGCACTAAGAGAAATAGAGCACAGTTGGGTCTCAAGGGTCCTACAGATAACCAAAAAGACCCTGAATTCTGGTTGAAATAGTTGCTGCTACCAGCTCAGCTTAGTTTTTATTTCAGCTTTAAAATTGCAGGAGTGAAAAAAAAAAAAGAGGAGAGTATTCTTCTCTGCAAACTTTATGAAAAGCAGAATAATATTGTCTTCCAAGGAGTTTTTTCAAGCTCTAAAGGTCACAAAGGTCTAAAGGTCTTAGACCTTTCAAGGTCTAAAGCTCGCAACAGAAGGCCTTTACTTCAACTGTAGTACAAGAATGATTTTTTTAAGTTCATAAATCAGCCTGATGAACAGTAAGACATTAGGACATTAAACATAATGAAGACTACGGAAAATGGTAATCCTTAACAAACAAGTGATCAAGTGATTGTGCGTATTGTGTTACCATAGGAAAATCTACTGTGTCTCTCTTATCATCCCAGCCTTCCAACTTATTATGGGCATATCAGGTATAACTACTGCCCTGTTGGTTTAAATGTATGGTTTCCTTTGATAATCACATCAAAGCATGCTGACTTTCTTGTTTTACTGTCTTTAAAAAATCTGATCTCTAAGTGCAAACCACATCTGAACATTATGATATCAGTAAATGTGATGTATTCACAAACTTTTATTGGAGATGCAGCAAAAGAAAATGTTCAACAATTTCTCTGTTAGGTTTTTTGTTATTTTATACAGACTAGATTAAATAGTTTTTAATGTATCGGCTAACAGCATCAAGTTATGGAAGGGATGAGCTTATATTCTGGGAGCACCATTCCGTTTTGCTTAAGTTCAGTATGCGACCCTCCATAGCATATATTCTCTTGCCTGATAATTGTCACTTTTGTCCTTCAAATGGATAGCAATTCACAGTCATCTTTTATACTTTTCCTGCGTTCTAGACACAGGTTGGCCTAGATACAGGCATTATAACTTTTTTTCTCTTCCCTTAGAGGCCAAAGAAATATTTACATAACTGACTTGCATTTCAAAATAGCCTCGAAGTTTCTGCTTACACACATTTTAAAGTCAGTTTCAGAATTCTCAATAGAAAAAGAACACAAGTGTGACAAAGAATCTGCAGAAAGTACAAAGCGTAAAATGGTATGATTTATTTTAATTAAAGCTTTACAAATCACTGGGTGGCTATGAATTTACAATTCTTTAATATATATCTGACTGACTGGGTTTTTCTTTCAAAAGGCTGTCATTCATGGAACCTCCGTATGTGCTTCCAGGAAATAAATACACTATTCCTGGTTCTGGGAGAGGCCCTCAATATTTTCCTTTTAACTTTATGGTGAAGATCCCAGAGGAACTTAAGTTGGTGAAGGCCAAAGCCACTCTCCTTCCCATAAAAAGAAGTTCCCTGGGGCAGAACTTGGTGGCAAACACCTTGTGCTTGTTGTTAGATGAACATGTATCAATAATTTCAAGATAGGACAGCAGGTTGATTAAGAGCAGGGTTAAAGATTTTTCAGATGCTGCTGCTTATTAGTGTGAAAAGCTTTCAGAAAATGGAATGACCTATGTTTAGCTGTAGTTGCATGTATAATTAAGCTGCCATCCAGATGCCTGAGGGGTTCATTTAATTACCGTTGTTTCATTGTCTCAAAGGAACTGAGAGTACAGCCTAAAGCTCTGAGTTAAAGGTGTTGTGAAGGCAGTGCTGTATTTCACATTTTACTAATAAATTCTTACTAGAAGAAGAGCATCATTCTATGACACTTTGGAATGACGCTGATAAATATGCCCTTGTTGGATGTAACTAGTAAATTAAACACAATATACAAAAAGAAGTTTTTTTAAATGAATACCTATATGCTGATGTGGAAGAATAACATTCTAATCAAGCCTTCCACTAAACAACACATACTGAGTTAAATCTCCTGGTATAATAATAGGAATAGCATTCCAAGCTTTCCTTATTTGCTCTAGCAGTGGGTTTTTTAGGCACATAGGATGAGATTTTTCAGAAGTGCTTAAGGGATTTAGTGGCAGAAGTCCCTACTGATTTTCCAGGAAATTTGTATTCCTGAAATTCCCTTGGAACTTGTGAAATCCCAACATAGTGTCACACAGTATTATCCAGCAGCTAAGTGTGCAGCTGAAGTATTTTTTCTCTCTGTTAGGACACAAAAGGGCCGATTTAATTCTTGGTAGTGATCTAGGGTACTCAAGTATGGATTTGGCACGTCCTTTAGCTGGTCATAGCTCTGAAAACTTCCTGTATGGGGTTCTGCATTTAGCCTCTGCAAATTTTTGTGACACTACCAAGAGATGTGGCTTACCAGGGCTCAAAAAAACACGTTTTTATTCCAGAGTTACTCCAACAGCATCTGCACTTTAATCTCTCCATTGCTCACCTCCTGGAAATTCCATGCAGGGAATTGTGAAGGGTTTACATATGGCAGCAGGAAGATCTGCATGGATAGTCTTATTTTTCTGTTTTCTTTTGTTTTGATTCCAGTTTTACTTTATAAACCAATATCTCGTAACTCTCTGATTTGATCGCTTCAAAAGTGTGGCACTGCTATTAGGTATATCATAGCAAAGTTCTTTGATCGTAGTAGGATTTGTATGCACAGATTAAGAATAATTACAGACTTGATAAAGGGAAGTTCTATTTTGCCATGGACATCCAAATTACAAATATGTCTGAACTTGAATTGGAATGAAAATCAAAATTTTAAATATCCATGACAGAAAACTCTGTTGTATGTTGACTGAAAGGCTTTAAATTTGTCTTACTCCATAATGCCACACAGATATTCCTAAGCGTAAATGCTCTCCAAAATTAAAACTAGAGCATAGATCATTTAGCATTTCTGGAATCTTCTTTTCACTGTTCTTACCAGAGAAAAAATAACAGAGGGGTTAATCCCAGTTCAGCTGTGATTTGTTTGCTGTGATATTCCTTGTGGAATTTGGTTCAGTTAAGATTGCTTGACTTCTATAAGAAATGAATGGCACTTCTCAAGAGAGTTGATGGCATGTACTATGCTTAGGGAACATCCAGTGAATGCAGTAGTCAAATACTAGCCTATCCGCAGGCATATAAAACATGACATATATTATTTTTACTTATGTAGTAACTTAAGTAATATTTCCATAGAACCTAATAGCTTAATGGGTGCTTCACAGCTAAAAATGAAACAGTTCTCTGATTTATAAACATTGCTGACTGAGACCACAGCTGAATAAACAGTGCAACTGTAGGAATCTTGGAGCCACTCTTGCAGATGACTTTCAGAGGGCATGTAATGGTATTGGCCAGGTATGCAAGCCAAGCAATTTGTATAACTATATTTACTTTTTAGGTACAGGTAATAGAACTACTGTTGCTCTTCAAGCTTTATTGTTTTCTTTTTTATTTTTATTTTAACAGTGGATCTCCTGAGTCTGTCTGCTGCATGTGATGCCTTGGACCAGCACAACCTCAAACAAAATGACCAGCCGATGGATATTCTACAGATCATTAACTGCTTGACCACTATTTATGATCGACTAGAACAAGAGCACAATAACCTGGTCAATGTTCCTCTCTGTGTGGACATGTGCCTCAACTGGCTGCTGAATGTCTATGACACGTATGTATGGGTACTCTAAACATACCGCTCTGAAAAGCTTTCCCAGTATTACAAGGGGAAGGGGTAAAAGGTAATGAGCTGTCTTACTTTATTACAGCATTAATGGCTTGAAGCTGAAAAGCCAGTAGTTGAAGAGAAAATTTAATAAAACTAACGGCTTAATTATTGCATTTACCTAAATCAGTACAGCCCTTGATTAGGCTTACAATCCCAGATTTATTACGCTAAGCAAGGAGAGAACTGGAAAACAGAACTTATATAAATAAGAGTTTTGCATTCAGAGCAGTTCCAGGGCTGCATCTCGTCATTGCATCACGTCTCTGCAGAGCTCTTTTGAATGTATGTGCTAGAATACCTTCCTCTGAATAAAGGAAGAGAATTATCAAGAAGCAACAATATAAACAGACTCTCTATGTGTCTGTACTTCTGGCTGCTCAACCTGTTCAGAGCCATCCCTTTTCTATAGCTTTCAATCTATAATCTTTGCTTAAAGTTGAAAGAGGCTCATCTGTAATATGTTTACAAGCCTTAGCGGTCAGTAGATCTGAGAAATTTTTCTTCTAAAATTTAATTTAAAAAATGTTACCTGTAGGTAGGAAAACAATGGAGTAAATTCACCTTACGAAAATTTATGAGCTTCCCTATTTAGTGGGTTAATGATTCTGCTCATAATGCATAGACAATTTCTAGCACATACCTTATATGGTAATTTTGGAATAAGCTATTTTTTTATTCAGTGAGTTTAGTGGAAAAAAAAGTTGTCAGTGGAAGTCTTTATGTGGTTGTTTAAGGCTCTTACCAGCTACCTTCAGCCAGACGTGCCCATTATCATGGCAGAATAATCATTTACGTTATAGAAATGGAAGGGCACTGGGCAATTGCTGTATTTGCATTGGCACTTTGAACTGCATTGAAGTAAAGTTCGTAACGTGGTTTTCCCATCCGCCATTTATCACAGTACTGAAGTGTGGATGATTACTTGCAGAAAACCTGCAGATTTTTGCACAGTCTCTTCCTGCGGGATCATTCTCTGAGAAGACAATTGTTTCTAATATCATTTGCAGCAGCTGTAGAATCCTGTAAAGCAGATTGCCCAGATCACGCTACGTTTTTATGTAGTGTACTGGTAGTAGAGAATGGAGCTATATCTGTTTAACAACTTGGTTATATTTCGTTAATTTGGTTTGCCTTTCACAGAGCTCAGATCCAGTTTTAATTTATCATCAAATATAAATAAGATATAAATGAAGATATCCACTTAGTAGACAAACATGCTGGAGATGTTATTCCAGATCAGTCACATCAGTGGCAGAGAGGGAAATAAAAGTAATTCCACACGCTGCTCTTAAGCTGGAGCATCCAGTTCAGATTTTCTGTGTCCAGTCTAGTTTTCTTTATGTTGCTCTGTGCTGAGAAGTACAGCATTAGAAATTACAATTGGCAGCCTCCAGGCAATTCCCTGGGTATGCTAGGGAACTGTGTGTTGCCGGACTCAATGAAAGACGGTGTTTTATGTGTGAGGGAAGCTCATAGCTATTTTGCTGAAATTGAAGTTTGAATTCGGATGGTAAGACAGAAGACCTTGTATTTACATGTGTTTAGTTTTTGTTGTAAACTTAATAGACAAAGATCAACCTAAGTGCTTAGTAGTATTGGAGGCATTTTTAATTAAAAGTACTGAATTTTTGGTTTTCTGATAATTGAAAACTGTCATTTGTTAAGATATTAATCAAATTCACAGTCAGTGGCTGATCTAATTATGGGCGCAGCTCTGCAAATCCAGCATGTTTCAGAGTTGTTTTAATTGATCAGTCACTCATGCTCTTTTGCAATAGCATGCTAAGTTATTGGTTTGACATGGGAGGAGAGCATACGGAACTGAACAACTCAGGATTCGTGCAGGTTCCAATTAAATATGCCTTACAGGGAAATAATCATTCTACATTCATCTCCTGTATTCTTTGCATG